GCACTCTAAGAAGTGGTGTACCAATGTACTCTCCCGTAAGCAGGGTTTAAGGTGACGTTTCTTCACTGGTGTTATCAAACTTTTAAAATTTTTGCTGTTTGATAGGCATGAAATGGAGTCTTTGTTTTAATTTACATTTCTGTGACCATCACTGAGATTAAGCATTTTTCCATATGATCAATGGCCATTTTATGTTCTCCCTTATGTAAATTTCCTATTCATATCCTTCGCCCATTTTCGCATTGAGCTTTTTTCTTTCTTATTTTCTAGGAGTTCTTTATATATTCCGGAGCTCGCTGATATATGTGTTGTAACTATTTCCTTTGAGTCTTTCACTTTTCACCTTATATCTAATGTCTTTCATTATAGAGAAGTTTCCAGTTTTAAGATCGTAAAAGTTACTGCTTTTCTTTTTCTTTCTGGCTTTTTACTTCTTGGGTCTTGTTTAAGAAATCCTTCTCTACCTAAAGTCAAAAAGATATTTTTCTATATATTTTTTTCTAACTGTTTTAAAGTTATTGTTTTAATCACATTGAGGGCTTTGGTATTTGTGGAGACTTATTTTGTGTCTTAATATATATTCACAATTTAATCAACTTATGCTTATAATTCTATCAATTTTTGCATTATAGATTTTGAGGCTAGATTGTTAGATGCTTATAAGTTCATGATTGTTTTATCTTCTTGGTGTACTTCCTAAATTATTATTTAGTATCCCTCTTTATCTTAATGCATTTGCCCTTAAGTTCTATTATTTTTTGTCTGATTTTAATATTGCAGTATCACCTTTCTTTTGATTTTCCAAGATTATCTGTTTACAACCTCTTTTCTTCTTCCTTTGTTGCTATTTTTTTGTTTGTTTTGTTTTCAGTGAGCACACATGAAAGATTTATTATAATCTTGCTGCAGTGGAAAAGGCCTCTGATAAACCGATTCAAGAGTATCAAGATTTACTCTTGATAGAGTTACGTTACAGGAAAAGAGAATGGGTTAGATAATGATTATTTAGACTAGATGCAAAAAGAAAAGAACGTTTGGGTAAAGGCCACCAGAGCTACAAGAATCCTATGCAGCAGTGAAAAGCACGTTTATTAGTAGCTCCCAAAAGTATAATGCTGAATGAAAAAGTCAGCTGAGTGAGTGGATGACTGATTTCCCGGAAACAAGGTGTTGGCAGGACTGTGTTCCTTGTGGAGGCTCTAGAGGAGAATCTGCTTCTTTGCCCTTTCCAACTTCTAGGAACTACCTGTGTTCCTTGGCTTATGGCCCACTTCCATGTTGAAAGCCAGCAATGGCAGCCTGAGTCCACACATCACATCACTGCAACCTTGCTTCCCTTTTGACATCTCCTTCTTTGACTATCAATTTCCTGCCTCCCTCTTCCACATTTAAAGGAGTTTGAATCCACAAGGTGCTCCTTGGAAAGTCTATGGGGCAGTTCTACCCTGTCCTGACTCATAGGGTTGCTATGAGTCAGAGTCAATTCAATGGCAGCGGGTTTTTGTGATTACATTGGGCTTACTCGGATAATCCAGGGCAGTCTCTTTATATTAAAGTCAACTGATTGGCAATTTAAATTCTACCTGCAATCTTAATTTCCCCATGCCATAAAACACAACATATTCACAGGTTTCAAGCATTAGGATTTAGAGATCTTTGGAGGGGAGGGACATTATTCTGCCTATCACACCCAGTTTCCCCCAATGGAACCTCTTTCATAAGTATAGTACATTATCGCATTGGCGTGTCAGGTTATTGCTGAGATGCCTGCTATCTGTCTTAATCGTCACTCCTTTGTAAATAATATTTTCTCGATGATATATTTTTTAAGGTTTTCCTTTTTCTTTTTGATGTTCCACAATTTTACTGTGATATATGTGAGCAAGAACTAATCTTTGTTTATTCTGCTTAATACTTATCACCTGAGGACCTGTGTCCTCATTTCTGGGACATTCTCATCTGTTATTTCTTCAAATAATCATGGCTGTCACTTCCTCCCTTCTCCTGCTGTGGTTCGTCTGAAGTGTCTGTCGATACTGCTTCATCTGTTTTAGGTTCTTGCAGTTGCTTGTTCCCGTTGCTTGTGTCTGGGTCTCTGTGCCGTCGTCTGTCTCAGTTCCTCAATTCTGTCTTTTAATTCACTAATTTCTCTTTGATTAGTGTCCAGTCTAGAATTTATGCCATTTATTGAGGGTTGTTTTCTTTTAAATTTTAATGGTTTTGTCCGTTTTTTATCCACCATTTCCAATGTCTCATCACCAACTCTTCTCGTTTGATTTATGCCTGTTTTGTGTCATACCGTCTTGTTCTTTATGGATATTAAAAAAACCAAAACCAAACCCGTTGCCGTCGAGTTGATTCCGACTCATAGTGACCCTATAGGACCAAGGAGAACTGCCCCATAGGGTTTCCAAGGAGTGGCTGGTGGATTTGAACTGCCGAACTTTTGGTAGGCAGCCGTAGCTCTTAACCACTGTGCCACCAGGTCTCCTTACGGATATTAGCCCTTTAATAATCTCATTGGATACCCTAAGCGTGTTTATTTCAAATCTTTGTCAGACAGTTATATAATTAATTTCATCTGGAGTGAATTCATGTTCGTGATTGAAGAGTTTGTGGGCTGTCCTAATTAGCATGAGATTCCCTCATGGGCTTTGGAATTCTTGATTATAGATCCAGTTTGAATAAGAGGTATTTTTTGTTGTTGTTGTTTTATTTTTCCCCTCATTATTTCTCTCTTTACTAATTCCTCCCTGTCTAGTGGTTTTACGTGCTTCCGCTGTTGCCCCACAGTGATGTTGGGAAAACATGTTTCAGTTCCTAGACTTGAGCCCGTGTCTGTCCTTCCCTCCTATACTCACATATCTATCCTGGTGGTGTGCTCGAGCCAGCTTATAACAACTAATGAGGACCGATAGTGAGATTTGGGGGAATTTTTTGAGCTAGTGGCTAAATAGCCATCATTAAAAAATAAATTATATAAATTTACTATTAAGTAAATTATATTAAAAGGCAATGGTAATAAATACTCAAAACTCATCACTTCCTACTTATTCTACTTATTTTATTACTATTATCTGTGCTCTTAAAAAGGAGCCCTGGTGACAGAATGGTTAAGTGCTCAGCTGCTAACCAGGTTGGTGGTTCAAATCCACCAGCAGCTCCTTGGGCGAAAAGTCCTGCCAATCTGCTCCCGTAAAGATTACAGCCTAGGAAACCCTACTGGACAGTTCTGCTCTGTCATATTGGGTCGCTGTGAGTCAGAATCAACTAGACAGCATCTAACAACAACAGTGCTCTAAAGGTTGTTCACAGCCTTTGTAACTGTATGGGGGAACTACTACATAATGGGGCACGAAGGCCATCTCATTCCATATCCTCATTCGGTGACATCACATAGATAGCTTGAAATTGGCTATGATGGGAGTATTTACACCGTGAAAATCAATAAACACTATAAATCAGGTCTTTTTTTTTTTTTTTCCTGGAGAACTTATTAAACATTCAACAGCACACCACTACCCTGGACCCAGGCAGCAGCAGTTTCTTTGACCTCTTCCCATAAACAGAGGTACCTCTCCCCAGCCCCTACTTCAAACAGAGAGGCAGGCGTTGGTTCCCCATCTCACAGAGAACACTTCTGGTCTCTATCATAAGAGCTTAGCTCCCAAGGAACATTTTAATCCCACTCATTACATTGACTTTCTCGTTTGTTTCTAGGCTATGGAGCTATTTATTTTGTTTTGAGCCTAACTCTGTCTTCTGGTTTTCTTTTTTATATTTGCCCTATCGTGGCTATAAGTTTGGCGCAGAGGAGGTTCGTCAAATAGTGAACATACTGTACTATTTGATTGGAACTCCATAAACATTATTTTTAATAGACACATAACTTCTTTCAAATGGATATTGATATTGGCCTTAACATAACTGTCGTCCCCTTCTTTCTCTCTCCCAAGTCGTTCGCTTTATCTTCCTTCTCTCTTCTTATCCCCTGGTACTTTCTTGTGCTAGTTATGACAAATGTGTTAATAATATATTATGTATATGAACTATTCTTGAAAAGATCCTGGATGTCACATACACTGCCTTGCTATTTATTATACACAGAATAAAACTAAAAAAAAAAAGCCACACACACACCCCAGATCAGTTGTTGGAGAATTGATTTTGACTCATTGTGACCCCACACGTTACAGAGTAGAACTGAGCTCCATAGGGTTTTCGTTGTGATCTTTCAGAAGTAGATTGCCAGGCCTTTTCTTCCCAGGTACCCCCTGGTGGATTTCAACTGCCAGCCTTTCAGTTAGTAGCCAAGTGCTTATCCATTTGCACCACCCAGGGACTCCATACACAGAATAATAGTATGCATTTAATAAAACAGTACACTGTTCACAGAATAAAACATTGGAGCCCCCCTGACAGGGATCACAACAGAGGATCCCGGATGGAGCTGAAAAAAAATGTAGAACAAAACTCTAACTCACCAAAAAAAAAAAGAAGAAGACCAGACTTACTGGTCTGACAGAGACTGAAAAACCCCGCGAGTATGGCCCCTGGGTACCCTTTTAGCTCAGTAATGAAGTCACTCCTGAGGTTCACCCTTCAGCCAAAGATTAGACAGGCCCATAAAACAAAATGAGACTAAAGGGGCACAC